ATTTTTTATTGTTTTTATATTTTTCAATATATTTATTTTGTTTGTACAAAATAAAAAAATAATTTTTAACGATACAATAGTCTTCGTTAGGCTTAACATCAACGAAAATTCAACGCAAAGCGACACGCAACAGAGAAAAATTTCAACATGGGATAGGTTAATATATTTTTTCGTACATAATCGATTATCCAAAATATTGATTTACCAAACAACCCCAGTCCCCAATTGATTCGGATAAACGACATTCTACTGTATCTACTTTTATGGTACTAGTTTAAATTGTAAGAATGTTAGTTAAATGGGAATCACTCAACCTACTTCAGTTTTGATGTTTTCATGCATGAAAAGGATTGTTCATAACAGTATGTACTACCTCACATGCATAAGTTTTCTAGATAAAACAATTTTCTAGCACCAATTATGTCATCAAAGTGTATCCAGTGAAACGAGAATAATTTTTACAACATACTTTACCAAAATAAATGAAAATGTACCTAAAAAATTTTGGGTGCAGTGGGCCACATAAAAATATTAAGTGGGCTGCGGTGCGGCCCGCAGGTTGATCATCCCTGACCTAGGGGGAAGACCCAGGAAGAGGTGGATGGACAAGGTAACTGAGGACCTAAGAAAAAGGATGACGACATAATAATGGTGTTTGCAGAGGAATGGTGGAAAGATAGAAAGAGATGAAGGTCATTGGTCCATGACCCAACCCAGGATTCACTGGATTAAGGGCAAAGAAGAAAAAATACCATATTTACTCGTACATAGGACAAGGTGTGACTTTATAGATCAAAATAAAGAAAATTAGATTTATTAATACAATTATAATTTTCTTTAGTTTAATCACAAGTAAAATAAATATCAAATGAACATAAATGCACACATTTTCCTGCAAAAATTACTGTCATTTTAAACTTTAAGGAAAAATCTTGTAAAATCGACAACATAATTTGTTCACATAAAGCTCAACAATCGGGAACCTTTTTTTTTTTTTGGCCAATTCTTAACAATCGAATCCGCTCCATCAATTACACTTATGAGTTTCTCCGAATTCTGATTTCTGAATAATCATGTTTTCATGTGGGAATGGATTAAAACTTATATCGTGCTCCTGTGTGATTTTGGAATTCCAATATGGAATTCAATTCAAAAGCTTTGCTTTTCCTAATGCTATTCATGTTTACTCCTGACAATATACAAGAATGATTCAAACGACCCGGATAAAACACTTATATTTTTAAATACAAGAGGGTAAGCATCCAGTAAAAATTGCGAATACACAGTTCACAAAAATTATTTGCAAAAATGCAAAGAATCTTTTGCTCGCATTGCTACCTAGGAATTTGAAGCTGTGATAAATGAATAAAAACTAGTGATGTAATGAATATTTGGTTACTATTCAGTATTTGGCCTATTTTTCGCTATTCGGCCGAATACCGAATACCTAAAAACAGAAGTACGAAATAACAAAAACACAGTAAATTAATCATTTTGATATTTAGATTTAATGTTATCAGGTTAGTGTTGTTGTTTATATTTATTTATAACTTATAACATGCACAAAATAAAAAAGAAAATAATATTAGTCACATATATTCACAATTTATAATTACAAAGATCAGCACATGTACACGCCTATTTGTTTGAGAATCGTCACACATCTGAGGGTCTGACCCTGCTTATCCTTCTTAAGCGCTCGTCTTTGCTCTTTCCTTTCTTTTTTCTCTAACATTCTAGTCCACGTATGCCTATACATACATCATAATACACGCTCACGATACTTTTGATTCATCACTTTTTCGTCATAGATTTCCCATTTTACAATTATGTGACTCATAGCCTGGTGATAATGGTGAAAAGAGACAGATAGGATGTCGGTATAAGTCACAGTTATGATTTCACTGATTCGAGATAGCTTGGTAGCCTGAACGGCCCCAGGCTTTTGCTCGTGCACACTAAGTGACTTTCATTACAAGCATTTAGCTTTCCGAAGTCCAAAGTACAACAATTGTTTGGCATTGACAGCTGTGAATTTTGCAGCAATAAGCTGCCTTGACTTGTTCGATTATGCTATCAACTCAATTTCATATTTATTTTCACATTTTCGTGGTCCTTCTCTGTTCTTTTTCCATTATTTGCATGTGTAGGTCATTTCATTGTTATCCACATTTGATATCATCATTTATCATATACTGCCATGATGCTCTTGTCTGTCCACTACAACTGTCAAGAATTAACGCGATTGGTGAAGCGTAGTGATAGCGGGCCAATAGAGAGCAGGGTCCTTGCCATAATGCGGTTTGCGCACCAACTTTCATATGTGCATTAATCAAGCTGAATAGTTTGGCCGAATATTCGGCTATTCGTCCATGCTCCTGGCTGAATATTCGGTATTCAGCCTGAGGCCGAATATACTATTCATTTCAACACTAATAAAAACCTCATCTTATATGCGAGTAAATAGAATATTTAGTTTAAATAACAAAGAAGTTTAGATAGTGTAACTGATCCACTCAGCTGGAAAGTCTTGGAAACCTGGTAAACTATCTTCTTAAAGAAAGGTGGATCCTTTGCTCAAAGAAGAAATGGAAAGTCTCCTAATACTTCTAGAGACAAAATGGAAACTCTCTTCCAGTGATTCACATTCATAGAATGTGAATCACTGGAAGAGAGTTTCCATGGATAAACAACATACTGATGATTCCAGTGATTCACATTCTATGAATGTGAATCACTGGAATCATCAGTATGTTGTTTATCCATGTAAGTAAATCTGTTCATAAGAATGAAATGCTTCTTTCTTCACTCTCATAAAAAGGGTGTCATTTTATCCCTGAGACACTTCTTAGTGTACCCAATTTTACAGTCCAGAAAGTGTTATCTAAGTCACATACTGTCATATTTTAAGACTTTTTCATCGGAGATATTTGGCTGTAAAACAATCCAGTGTCTTCACCTCCTTTTCAATTTCAGGTACAGTGGCATATAAGCTATAAGCTTCTTGCATAGAACAAAGGTTAAAAGTACTGCGCTTTTGTTCTATTTATTCAAACTGATTTGTAATTTATTCCAATCTGAAACAATCCATTCAATTTTCAAATTCTTCACCTGAGGATGACAGATGTAAAAACTGTTGAAAGTACTAGTGAAGACTTTTGGATTTTAGTTTTGGTTTCATTAAATTCATTAACAATGATAGAGTTGCCTATTATTTATATTATCTCTGATGTTGAGTGCCATGAAGTTTTTAAGTCATTCACTGATAAACTTAGCAATAAGAACACCACTTTAACATGGAAAGCTTTATACACAAAACAAACTTTTTCAATTCACTTTATGAGTCTTCCTCAGTTTACATTAAAGAATATCATAAACAAATAGTTTAAAAATTGAATGTGTTACAAGCATTTAAATAGGATGTTCAAAAATAAACAGATACAAATTGATAAAAATATAAAGTAAACAAATACAAAAGATAAAAATACAAATAAAATTAAAATATACAGGTAACCGTAACATAACATGGTAGTTACATTCTGAAAAAGTGCCTTATCATGAAAATCCATGCTATATGAAAAAAAGGACTAGAACAAAACATAAGGTTAGATTCTAAAAGTTTTATAAAAGTATAAATTAGTATACTTTTGTTAAAGTATTACACATTAATATTTTTTCCTTCATTGCTAAACACTATTAAACAAGAATGTTTTCTTTTTGGCAAAATGTCATCTTCTGAGATTTCCTGTTGACCTTAATCTGAATTATCAGTAACATCTTGATTTCTCTCTCCTTTTTTTCATAAAATTTGATATTTTCACTTGCTTGCATTTGCCTAAGAGATCTTTAAAAATTTAATCCTTTTATGTGGTAACTTTCAATTTAATCTGTGAAAACAAAACACAGTGACATCTGATTTGTAGGAAAGCTACAATAGGAAGCTAAGACAAGAAAAAAGAAATAATGTACAATCAGTTCTCATTAAAGAAAACTTGGCAAAAGGCATGAAACAACATTGCCCATGGATTTTAGAAACTTGAAATTTTAAATATGAAAACAACACAAATGTTGGATTTAAAAAAAAACCCCATTGAATGATGCTTATACTTAAAAAAGGTGATGTTTTGTACAAGGATGTCTCCAATATTGCTCTGTTTTGCTCTAACACGGTTTGAGAAATCACGTTAGAGCAAAACAGAGTTATAGGAATGCTGTGTCATATGAGAGATACCTGCATTCATTCACTGTTTTTATTATATTTTCAATAATTGGCTAAAACAATTGAAAATGAATTAAAATGAGTGATAATCAGCAGTTTGTCATTTCATTAATCAGCCAATTACTAATATCAAATTTTGGTCAATTAATTAAGAAGCCAAAGTCCTAAAACAAATGTAAATAGAAACTTCACGAAACGATCACCTAAATGTTTGAGCTATAATTCTACTAATTTAAAGATTAATACAAAGTAATTAACAAATGTAAATAATATTTTTCTGAAGATTTTATATAATTAAGCAATAATGTTTAATGCAGTTTAATAAAAAATTTAAACTAAAATTAACAATGTTAATAATTTTTTTATTTATAAAAGCATTAATAATTACTGGTTAATTTTTAATTTCAAAAAACAAGCCAAAAAATATATGTTTTTACCATTTCCAATTTTTCAAAAAGGAATATAATTCATTTTTTAACAAATTACAAACTTTGCATTTTATAACTAAAAGTATCAATATATAGTAATTATTCATTTATTAATATATAATTAAAATCAATAAAATATAAATTTAAAATTTAAATCTTATTAATAAAAATAAACTTTTAAACTTATAAAAAATTTTATATTTATATATCAAATTTAAAAATTTTGGATAACTTTCAACTTTTGTAATTCAATGTAAATTATTTTATTAAGAGTTAAGTTCTATTATCAATGCAATTCTATTATATTGTAAGTTCTATTATTTTTCAAAATAGATTTATATAATAAAGTTTACCAATGAAATCGATATTTAAATACTTCTTCAAACATTCTAAGGGTAAGAGCAATTGCTCTATAAAATGATCCCAAGAAGATTCCAACACCTGTGCAACATAGAATTGTTGCAATAAGAGTAGCATAGGGTATTCTTGTCATGCATTTCATGCATCCACCACTGCAGCAAGCTGTTAAAAATAAATTATTATTAAAAATCATATTACATTTTAAAATTTTTAACTTAATAATAATAATAAATTTTATATTTGATATATAAAAGTAAAAATCATGTTTAATTAAGGATTAAAATTACCTGATGTACAGTATTTGTCTCTATCATCATACAGAAGATAATTTGGAATTGGATATGAATATAAAGCTAAATTTGATGACTTCATATCTAATAGTAAGTTACAGTTGAAATGCTTTCAGAAAAAATTTCCAGAACTTATATGTATTCTCTTTAATCCAATTAGCTTTATCACAATTATGATCAATAAAAATCTTAGTGATCAATTTTATTTTTATTTAATGATTTATTAGACAGAATGACAAATTAAACAAACAAACCATATTATGTTTTAAAACATTAAATAAATTTTCTGATATTATTTGCCTAAAGCATTTACAAATTAATATTTGATAGAAATAAGTTTTTATTTTATAAAATATATATTACATATGCTTGAGATCGTTTGTGTGTATGTTTTAATTGTAGAATTAGATCTAAATGATGAAAAGGTATTAATTTTTAAAGATTTTCCTCAGATTGAGTTCATAATTATTCTAAATTTGTCTTTATAAGTAAACAACAAATATTTACTACGATTAATGACTATAAATGATCATTAAAGATACCTTACGGCAATGTTCTTAAACCTATTTTCAAACAATAACATAATTGCTGCTTCAAATTTTCAAATGATCCAGCAGATTTATAAAATTTTGTACATTTTAATTAACAAAAAGTAAAACTTTAACTTGTGATTTAACATGAGGAGGAAGTATAAAAAGCAACAGAAAACCACTATGCATTATTACTAATGTAGCAATCTCCATGGGTAAAATGAGCACAAGTAGAAAGAAGAACAGCATTAGAGTTGCAATAATTTCCAACTGCAACACTTTGCCCCCGGTAGGGAAAATAAGGGAGCACCCTAGATTGTCAGTCTGTAAAACTTCCCACAGAGACTCAAGAATTGAAACTTGGAATGTCAGACCTTAAGAAAGGTTGGAAAGCTGTAAAATCTAAAGACTGAGATGAAAATAAATATATTAGACATAGTTGGACAAAGTGAAGTGAGATGAGAAAACACTGTAGAATTAGTGAGTGACGATATCAAGCTTTACTTTTTAGGTGGAAGGAAAGCAACAATTGAAGTGAGGATAGCATTGAAAAGAGAATTTGCATCCTGAGTAAAGTTGATTACATAAATGTCAGAATCCAAGCAGAACCAAAAGATCTGGTACTCATTCCCATATATGAGCCTACCAGCTCTCATTTAGATGAAAAGATAGAGGAAATATATGAACAGGTGAAAGAAATTATGAAAAAGAAGAAAGAAATGCCTGCCTGTTGTTATTAAGAGATTGGAATGCTATGGTGAAAAACACAAGAGATTATATACATGGAAAGATCCTAGGGACAACAATAGATATCAAATAGACCATATACTAATTAAAGAGAGATACAGGAGTTCTATTAAATATGTAAGCACCTATCCAAGTGCAGATATAGACTCAGATCACATTTTACTCACAGAAATAAAAATAAAGAGGAAAAAGACAAATGGGATTTAGAAGATTTGAAAAGAAATAGTGAAATTTTTAGATTAGTATCTGACAGACAGACAATTAAAGAAATAGATGAAGATGATGCTGAAGTACCAAATGAATTGTGGATATCAATGAAGGAAAAGATATGCCACAGCTGGTGAGTAAGTAGGAAATAAAATGGTGAATAAAATGAATGAAGGTAAAAGAATGTGAACTCTGGACACAAAAGACAAAAGTACAGAGAACTGAACAATAAGCTAAGAAAATTGAATTAAATAAGAAAAGAAGGATGATTGAGAAAGCCAAAGTGTCGCTTGAAAGAAAATGAAATTGAAAGTTTGGAGACATCAAAAAGATTTGAACTCATGTATGATAAAGTTAAAGCATTCTGGTTCAGAAGAGCTAAAATAGTAACTATTAGTAACAGAAATGAAGAGAGTATAAATAATAAAGAGAATATCCTGTACAGATGGCACAAATACATAAGTGATCTATACAAAAGATAGAAGAAGAAAGTGATATGGATAAAGATGAAGAAAGAACTCTAGTCCAAGTAGAACCATAGGAAAACAATACATTAAAAAAGGAAAGGGAATGTTGGTGTGTTTTATAGATCTAAAGAAGGCATTTGACAAAATTGACTGGGAAAGGTTGATGAATATTTTGAGAAAGAAAGGAGAAGATTAATATTCAACTTGTACAAATATCAGAAAGCAATAAAGTAGATGGTCAATACAACAAGAAAATCAGGAGTGAAAAGGATGTTAGGCAGGTTGCTACTTATCACCACTTCTTTTCAACATATACTTGGAAGAGATGATTATGGAATATCTAGATGAAGAGTAAAACAGATTTAGTGTTTAAGGTATTCTGATGATATGGCAATTCTGGCAGAGAGCAAGGGTGAAATGAAAAAGATCCTGAATGGTCAGGAGAGGAAATGTGTGGCCTTCAAAATAAAAATTAATATTAACAAAATCAAGGTGCTATGGATCAGAGAGAAGGAAAGATTTTCACCACTTATGTGGATGTTGACTAAGTGGAAAAAGTGAATGGGTTTAGATACCTGGGTGCTTGGCTTGACTCTGAATGCAGAGATGGGAAAGAAATCAAGAGAAGAATCAGTATGGCAAAATGAAAACAATTTTATACAGGCCTCTGGAATTAAAACTGAGAAAAAGACTGGTAAAATGCTATATATGGAGTGTATTCCTCTATAGTGCTGAAACTTTGGACTTTGAGACAATACAGCATTAGGAGAATAGAGGCCCTAGAGATGTAGCTGTGGAGAAGAATAAAGAAAATCAGATAGGACTTCCTCATTTCTCACTTTATTGCTCTAAGAAAAGTGGGTGAAAAAGGAGCATATTAGAGATAATAAAGAGGTGAAAAGCTAGTTGGATGGGACATGTGATTCAAGAGAAATGCTTTGGAATGATGTTATGGAAGGAATGATTGCAGGCAGAAAGGAATGAGCAAGGAAAATTAAAATGGTGGATGACTTAAAAGAGGGTAGTTATAAGAAGCTAAAGACAAGAGCACACGATAAAGTAACATGGAAAAACATGCTCACTGGGCCTGTTATAACTAGCAGAAAACTAAAGAAGAGATACTATATATTATAATTTTCAATTAAAACATGTTAATGATTTACTTAAATGAATTTTCTGAAATATTTATAGTTCTTTGAATCATCTATGTATATATATATATAAAAATGGACGTGTATGTCCCTATATTTCACTTTTCCGCAAAAACTACACATCGCACATGAATGGTGTTTGTATGTGGTGGTCTCCAAGTCTCCATTCGTGCATAGGGGTGGTTGCGTCTCGATAGCTATAAGGGTGCGGGAGATATGGGCTTGAAAGTGGTTGAAAGTGGCTTTCTATTTTGAATGTTTTGTTTAAATTAAATTCGAACATAAAATTTGAATATTGGTTTGATTATAGAATGATTGTAAACGTTCCAGAAACATTGAAAATAGTTCGTTTGACTTGACGTGAACAGGAGACGTTCAGAAATCAAATCGGGAGCAGGTCTCTAATTAGACTGGAAATGGGGGACCTAATTCTTGCATTCTGTGAAAACAGGTAAGATTGGCTATAATGTAATTATCTTAATCTTCACTATCATTACTTTTTAAAAACCCAGCGAAGCGGGTCCTTGCAGCTAGATTCTAGATTACTTAGAAAAACAGTCTTTTATATATATATATAAAAAACTATATTACATACAAATGTACGAACAAATAAAAACCCAGAAAGCGGGTCCTTGCAGCAAGTTTTATTATAAAATCATCTAATCAACTACTATTTTATCAATGCAAAAACTATTTCATTTCATTCATTAAATCTAACAATATAACAATATATTTTAAAATAAATATTTAATGCTAGCAATAAAAAGAGCACTTGATATATCTTAATCATTAATAACACTAACTGCTCTCAAAAAATGACTTTGAAAAGTTCATCTTTAGTTAGCCTATAAATATATAATATTAATAATAGTAAATACTAAAATAAACTAAAAAAAATACAAAATAATGTTGCTGAAGATCTACTAATATAGTTTCAAAAGTTAATCATTCAGTTTTTAAATAAAATCTTCTATTTGATTCTGATGAAACCGTGTTGTAGTTTATGTTGCTTTATGCAAAATCTTCTAGTTCCCTGAAACTTATTATAGGGTCAATGTGGGTAAATATGAGACACTTTTCAAAGCATTTGTAACAGCATTTGTTAAGCATAAGTATTTTGCACGACAAGGTCTACAGATGGTGTTAAAATCTAATGGAGTATTCAATTTTTCTATATGTATGAGAAATGTTGAGCAAAAAATTTTTTCCTGTCTCATATTTTATCTTTTGAAGGTAAAATATGAGATACTGGGAGGTGAAAAATGAGAAATTATATAACCATAAGGACTTGCCTATGCCAACAGGGAGGTTAATAATGAGTACTACAGGTTAAATGCAAGACATTTCTGTATAAAACATTGCTCCATGATATTTAGAAGTAAGTAGATAAGATTAAATATTCATCAGTTTTGAAAAGTGTCTCATATTTATCCATATTGACCCTACTTTTTAGTTTTTCTCTGATAATTGTTTGGCATCTTTATTATTTCATTCAAAACTCACACCTATAAGAACAAAGAAATATTTTTACTATGATACAGAACAACTAAAGTAAAAACGTTTCATGAAAAGTAATGACTGGTGAATAAAATCTGGTATGTCTCATTTTTTATCTCATTTTGAAATGCACAAAACTCAGACAAAAGATAATATATGCTATAAAATCAACTAGCAGCTGAAAGCTCTGTTTATATATTACAAATTTCTAATTAAATATCCATGTCTTTTGCAGACATATACAGAGCAAAAGTTAGTTGAACTGACAGAAAAGTTTTTGCACCTATTTTTGTGGTGTTTCTTAAAAATTAAAGACTCAATGAAACCATAGTCATTTTCATTCAGAAAAGCTATATGTTAAAAAGCACAAAATAAACTTTATTTTGTATTAGTACAGGACAGATCAGACATAGATTAAGTCAAATTTCACAACTGTCTCATATTTTCACATTTTTAGGATTGTCTCATATTTACCCACATTGACCCTATAGAGAAAGGAAAATTATTGAAAGTTATCATCTTTTCAGACACAAGTTCAAATAGGAATGCCTAAAAATAAAAATTAAAGCACTAATTGATGCCTAGAAAATAAAAGAAAACTAGAATTGGGAGAGAATGCAACAGAAGAGAGCTACAGTAAAGGCCTTTAGATGTCTTTAGTTTGCTCTAGTTTTGTACTGTACAACATCTTTGATGGTTCTAAAAAAATTTTGATGAGATGAATGTCTACAATTCATAAAGGAGTTTCATATTTTCTAAAGAGGCTCTTGGTTACTTTAAATAAAAGAAAAGCTGTTTAAAAGTTTGTAACAGAGAGATTAAATCTAAAAATAAGCTAGGAGTTAATCTCTTCTATTATTGTAATTTTGTGTGGTTAACATTTCTGGGGATTTAGCCAGAAATTTATGAGTGTAGACCACTCACATAGACTTAAAAGAGTTAAGTAGGATACTATAAAAATGCAATAACCCATGATCACCAGTAACACATTATTGTGCAGTTTTTCTTCTCAGATCAAATTAATTATAACTTTGTGTTGCCAAATAAATAAAAACATAGTCCTGTATATAAGAATTCTATACACTTCCTGCCTAAATCAGATGGCACTATGGTAAAGTGCCCTCTTGCAATGGAAATTTGAAAAATGTAGTTACAAACATATGTACTTACATCGATGCAACAAACATACAGTGTATCTCAGTTTTCGTCAATAATCCATCCGAAAACAATCGGAAAAATCCAAAACCGATCAATGTAAATCCAATTAACTTGTTCTAGACGCTCCAAAATACAGACCAAAAACACATTTTATAGAGAATAAATATAATGTTTAATACTAAAAACAATAAGAAATTAATACAAAATGAACATAAGACTAATGTAAAAAATGAACGAACATTTAACATGGTATTCAAAGGGGCTGCTGATTCTGGAAAATTTCTTTGGTTCCATGACGGAGCTAAAAGGTAAGAAAAGCAATGTAATTGTTTGGCTTTATATTACCTCTCTCAGCCCTGCAGGCACTAAGAAGGTCTCTTTTAGCAAGCCCATTATGGGTTCAGCCAAGCCCACAATGGGGCAGTCAGGTGGTGAGGGACAGGGCCCGACATATCTGGATGGACCACTTTCCGAAAAATTCCTAAGGATTTTCCTTCAGCATTCAATCCCGAATCCTCCAGAGTGGTAGGCTGCCACCTTGACTGGCTGTCATATAGGAGTTGTTTGGCTAGATGCAGACTAACATTCCCACAACGAGAAACAATGCCAAACTGAGCATGAAAAAGCATGGGTTGCCCTTTGTTTTTGTAAATTTGCAGCGAGATCACATGGGCACACCAATGAAATCTGAGGCAACCGACAAAAACTGAGGCAAATTTTTCACAAAAAAAAAAAGTCAACAAAAACCGTAATTTAATTTCCTGTCATTTTTGAGGATGATATTTTGCAGAAAATCCATTAGAACAGGAAAAAATTAAAATAAATAGCCATTTTCATAAAGTTACTCAAAATATTCAAAATTATACAGCTTTTGGTAAATGTATTCCACACATGCACGTACCTAATTCTAGCTAATAAATTCCAAGTAAATTGCCCAAAGAAAAGTTTATCACCTATATTACATCTCTTTTGATCATCATTAAAATTTAATTTTATAAAAATGAATGTTTTATATTAAAAATTAAAATATTAGTGCAAACTTTTTAAAATCATTTTAATGTTTATTGCAAAATAAAAGTACAGTAATACCTCGACTTATGCTACGAGTACTCCGACTTACGTGATTTTCAACTCTCGTCGATTCGTCTTTTGTTTGAGCGCCACGCAACTCTTGATTACTCACTCCCCCCACACTAGTGTTCAGCTTACATGTTCAGACGTGTCGCACGGAATCGACACATAGCTTCAATTTATTTTGTGTTATTTATTTCTGTGTTTGTGATATCTACGGAGACTTGAGAGACTATGTGGTGATTTATTGTAACCGTGAATGAATCAAAAGACGAGATAAGATTAACGAGAACATTTATTAGCTTACATACAACCGACTTTGATTTTACACAAATTGCGAAATTATACCCTGACTTACGCGGTTATCGCTCAGTCCCACCTATCGCGTAAGTTCGGGGTATTACTGTACAATCAAGATTTGCTGTCATCAACATAGGATGTAAGAGAACTGACAAAAGAATCAACATAAACATATTAACTTAATGGCAATATATTCTTTTTTCAGTTTAATGACCAATGGAAAATGATTAATGCGTTTTACTCATGCAAGGCAAAACTTATAATGCAATACTATACAATGCAGCATCAATACTGTACATTAAATTTATGTTAGTAAATAACCTCATGTTGGCAATATGCTTCATATCACATAAATATCATTACATCAAGTATAGTAAGACTCCAGTTAACACTGATTCGATATAACGCCTTCTGCTCGAAGCCTAAAAAAAGAAGCCCAAAATTTACACCAATTTAAATTATCAAGGTGTTTTATTGAACACAAACCAATCAGAAAAAGTTAGCAAAAAGGTGTACTTTCTTTAAATCTATGTTTGTTTGGTGGAATTTTGGAAAAAATATAATATCACGTATGCCACAGGCAATATTGGCTTCGCTTGGCAAGAATTAACTGATAAATGAATGAACGAAGTGTGAAAGAAGTTATGGCTGAAGGTGTCCAAAAATTCTCAATGAGAAGAGCCTATCGCTGTATCGTTAGATTGATCAAACTCAACCTAATCAATACAGCAGGACTAGATGTAGACGAACAAGATACCGCAAGTTTCTGGTGAAAGTCTTATCAATAACAAACACATCAAAACACACGGCAAAATATAAGACTTACTTCTAACCCAAAACCAAAAACAGTGCTTAGAGTGAAAGACGTACTGTCGAGTTAAGCACCGTTTTTGGTTTTAGGTTAGAAGTAAGTCTGAAAGTCTTTATCAACAACAACCTTCAAGAACTGGCAGAACAATGAATTCATGTGGAACTGGAAAACAGAAATTCTGAAAACAAAGAACCCAAAAAATTTCTCTACAGATTTCCTTAGTAAAAGTTTGGTAACGATAACCGAAATTGTTGATCAAATTGTAGCGAATAATCCAGATTTTGAAAAGAGCACAAAAGTAAAATGAGGCATTTTGGATGAGATCTTCCGCTACCAACATTTGTTTAAGGAAAGAAAAAAGCAACAAATGAAACTTCATGACTTTATTGCAAAAAAAAAAGAACAAGAATTTCAGAAAAGTCAGGACCTTTGTCACAAAAAATGAACTAATTAATATATTATTATACATTTCTGTGTGCATATGTTTATGTGTTATTTAACACATATAATTATACAAATTAATATAAAAATAATTTAAATTAAAGTAAAATTTTTTTATTTTCGGTCGCGTGTTCCCCTATCCCTATTTACTCTATGTTAAAGTGACCTCGTTTAGCGCTTTGTCGTCCAGGAATGCATCCCCGCATTAAGCGGGGTCTTACTGTATATTTAACCCCCTACTCTTGCAGAGTAAAAAATTAATTTTAAATACTGTTTTAGAATACTATTCCAATGCTGTTATTAATTTAAAATTTTTATCAAATTTTGCAAATCATTCAACATTACAGGAAGTTTTAGAAAATCACATCATGAAGAGTACCTCCAAACTAGAACTGTCATATGTCCCAATGCTTGGATTTGTGAAATTTTTCATCCCAATCGGAAAATTTTTTCAAAATAACCTGATTTGCCTATTTTTACCTGAAAATATTCTAATTTGTTTTAAAAAAAGTCAAGTAAGAATTGCAGGTGCTAGGTGTACTCATGTTTTGTGCATATATGCATATATCATCCATCCTTACACACACATACCGTTAGTAATCTGAGGCACATGCATCATGTTCCGTTGGTCCTATGAAGTTTTATGTAATCCTCAATAATGGATATATATAAAAGGCCATAGTCTAACTTCTTTTTCAATTATTATTTTTGACTTTTCTTTGAATTCTATGAAGACCTTTATTTTTAATCATATACATCATATCCAGGTCCACAAGAGAGACAACTGTATGCAAGTCACAAGTATGATTAGATCAATAATAAAAAAAAAACGTTCAATAAATGATAATTCAATAAAATTAATCAATTAGAATTATTCACTTGTTTTCGAGAGTAGCTATTGCCTACCTACTGCCAGGTGTCCATCAATTTTTACCCAAAGCTATACCACTAACAATATCCCTATTTGTTTTGAACTTACAGTAACATATTCCTTTATTTTTTCTTGTATAGGGATAGCCTACAAACTGAGTAGGATGGCAAGGCAAAATATTTAAGGTTTATTCTTTAATAAGAGAAAATATATCTCAACAATCTATTTCAAAAAATTGTTGTATTCAATGATTTGTCATTTAATAATCTCCATCAATGATACTAAGAATATATAGATGTGGCGTACTTTAACAACTATTAGATAGAGAGTAAAATACTTGGAATTTAATATCCAGATATTAAAACAAGAAAAACGAGAAATAACTCACCGTCCCCACAGCAACAAACACGTGCACGACATCCTTTGTCTGATATACTAGAATACGAATAGCTCTTGTTGAACATTCGTGTCATCTTAATGATTTTTCTTAATTGATTACGGTGTAACGACGGTACGATTCAAATTATCAACTTTTAAATTAAGTTTAAAAACCATCCAACGGAAATGTTACCTAACATCAACGCCTCAGACAACAAACTCTACAACGCCATCTATTGGAATAAACATTAATTCTTACCTAGAGTAAACAAATAATTTAAAAAGTTGTTTTACTCTAACGCTAAAAATAATATATCCAACAAATTTAACATAATTTTTATTCAAATATTAGTTTCGGTTTGACAAAATTTCAAATTTAGAAGCGTATTTTATATATTTTCTATGTACAGCGAATACTATCTCGTCTATTTTTTTAATTAATTAAGCAAAGATTTATAATATATTTAAATTATTGCTTGATAATTTTTGAATGTCGAATCTATTATAAGCCTAAATATGTTACAAAATTATAACGTATGAATGCTGTAAAGCAAATATGTTTTAATCGTGTGTGTTTACTCTACTGTACAGATATTACAATATAAATAAATAAAGAAAACGAAGATCAATTAAAATTTTTTCGTAATTAGTTCCGAAAATTTATTTTATTGAGAAATTATTTTAATGAGAATTACTCATTTTATATACGTTTACAGCATTTAAAATTTTAAACCGAACTGAAAATAGCAAAATTTTGCTAAATAAAATAGCTTTTAAGAGAAAAAAGTGGTGGTCATTCATTTGTTAAGCCCTTTTTTTCCACGATAATTTGTCCGTCGTGAACCGAATTTGAAGTCATTAGAAGGTTCGATGACCGATCCAACAAGCCTTTATCGAAACGATACGGTCGAAATAAAGCGTGCTGGACTGTAAAGGTAATATCTATGCAAAGACCAGCTTAATATGTATCATATATTTTTTGAATTGCCAATAATCGCTACGTAACAACCCACAAAATAAATATAATGCAAATGGCACATATTCCTCGCATTTTCACAAAAACAAATAAAATAAAATAATACATTCGCAAGGCTTTCGAAATATCGCATTTCCTGTTAAAAGGATTTGCTATACTGTATTACCAAATTAAATAAAGAACCCGAACTGAATATTTTCGAGATGACTAATTTTATTGATTTTGCAGCAGTGAAGCCATGTACAGTACATACTGAACATTCTTATGGAATTATTTTTAACATTAAATTTAACGGATTTTAAAAATGTATGTTAATTCGGTCGTAATTAATAAGTTACATTCGTTTTACAGTTTTCCTTGTTTAAACCTATTTAAAAAAGCAATAAGCGTAAATATTTACTTATGTTTATAAGTAATTAATTAATGAGTATTAAAAAATATTTTTTAATTATAAGATGTATAAGAAAAATTTCTTTTCGATTTTTAATCTTCATCGATCAAGTTGATGAAAGTGAAACATTTAGGTCAAGCATATCATATTTGACCCAAAATGAAGCGCTTGGATAAATACGGAGGTTACTATATCTCATATGTTATGATCAACCACCTGTAAAATTGTCAACAAATAAAATAATACGGTTATAATGATATAAAAAATTTCATTTTTAATTCAATCATTGAAAAATCATTGACGATGCTAACTAGTGATTTAATTGAAAGAAATTGGATTTTTTTATTCATATAAATTAATTCTCCATATTAAAATCTTACAGTATTTTTTTTTTACAAATATTAAACAAACTGGGAAGTCAAAACGGATGTTAGGTTTAGCAAAGTGTGAATATTCACGCTAATTAAATCAGAGCGTATTACTAGTTCCCGATGAAATTATTCAGTTTGCCCTTGACATTAGTATTATTTGAAATATATATATATTTAATTTATAAATTTTAAGAATGAAGTGATATAAATATAAATTTTATGATTATTATAAAATTGTAAAATATCAGTTTTTTTCATAATTTAATATTTTTTGAAATTTTATTAAAATTTTACTTAATATAAATATAATTTTTTCATTTGATTCTAATAAATTTTGAAGATTAATTCAAAATATAATTAAAATAAATTTCATTGAAATATCGAAGATTCCCTTGCAGGTATTTAGTTAAATTTAAATTTTTAAATAAGATACGCTACAGAAAAGACATTATTATTAAAATATTACGAGATATATAATGTATTTTAAAAATTAACTATGTTATTTTTTGGTGAGTTACACGATTTTTAAAGCAACAAATATTTAAAAACAAGTTGAAATTTGAATAGTTATTCCATAATCTAAATTTGTAACTAAATAACCACGTCTCAAATACCTGATATTAAACAGCTATTTTTAAATTATGAAAATTGATCAACTTACTAAACATTATTTTTTGCTAGTTTATATTGTCTTCAAAAAATATTTAAAATATAGTTTTGAATAATAAAGACTATATTAAAATTAATTCTTTAAAAAATATCCAAAATATAATTTGAATATTTTTTAAAAAATATCCAAAATATAATTTGAATATTTTTTAAAGACTTTTCAAGCAATGTTAAATAAAATATTTTATTTAGAATGTCTTGAATTTGTTACTAATATATATTTATTCTACTAATTCTAACAAAGTATGTATATAATTAGTATTTAATTTATTCTATTTTTAATACCTTTTTTTAACTTAAAAGTTAGACATTTATTTGAAAATATTGTTACAAAAATTATTCAGCAATTTAAAATTTTTTCTCTAATCATTCAACAAATATCTTATATTTTATTCATATAATTAATTACGTTATGTATAAATTTAGTTTAATATCTTAATTATTCAATATTTCACATTTTTAAATTATTTTAGCTATAATATTTAATGTATTAAATACAAATTTATTTAAAATAACTTGACTTTGAGCTTTGTTATTTTTCTACATTTACAGATCATCATTAAAACAACAAAAATAGCGCTATATAATTCTGATCTGTTTAAATTAATTTTAAAACATTAAACTTTAATAATTGTAAAAAAAATTCATCTTCATTAAAAAAACAACTGAAAAATTCTTATTACCAGTATTAGTTTATTTAAATTAAATTATAAGATTTAATTCATGTATACATTATTTATATGTTTATAACACTACTGATTTATGTGGAAAAATAGAAGAAAAAATTAATAGCTTTATAATTATAAATTCTTGTCAACAACCTGTAACGATCTGTGCATCTGCAACTATGTTCATTCAACTGAACAAATTACAAGTGACACTTTCAGCAACAACTATTGTTAAATATAATTAAAGTAATTTTTTTCATAAATGAATCATATATTTGATCAATAAGTGATAATATATATTCTATTATACTTTACTTTTTTTAAATATAGTCCTTATTAAATAATTATATGATGAAGTATGTAATTAAATAAACAATTAAAACTGTATAAATATGCTAATAATATTTTTAAAAAACGCAAAAATAGCATATATATTTTATATCATTTAATATTTTTTACATAATAAAAAGTAAAAATAAATCTTACCCATATTTTAGTCAGAAATGTTTTTTCTCATATGTTTATTTGAGTGTTCTACGTTACTTTCATGTTTACATCAAATATCAATAAATTAAATAAATTAAAATATATATACATTACATTGTAAACGATTAAATTTGCATAATTTTAAAGAATTACTTTTGCCTAAGAAAATTAAGTGGTTGTTGAATCAATCAACAAGTTGTTTTTCATTGCTAAAATCACATATGTATCCCAGCTGTAAACATTCTCCCTTCCTACGATCAAACAACCTCTAGCGGTAGATAAATGAAAATATTCTAAATAATCCTAACATGGCAAATTAAAATTACCGTTAAATATTAGGTGATGGCATTTCAATATTTATATAATTTATTGAAAACATTTTAAACAGTTATCGATTAACGTGAAGTATGTTAATGCTATATGACTATGATTTCACTTATTTTTACTTTTATTTTTTAACTCTATAGCTTTTTAATCCTATTCATCTTGGTTGATTAGGTTCACAATGAAGGTTGCTAAATGGTGAGAGATGAAGTTATCGAAATCCGTCCTTCATCACTTATGAAAAATTCCTAAGGTGTCTGTCACGGCGGCACGGCCTCAAACTCCAGGCCGCAGAACGGTAGGCCTTTTCTGTTCTGACCATTCTTCCATCGAGCTTTACCTATTACAGTATACAGTAGATGGGCTAGAATCGCAATATTCAGCCATTGCGGGTGAAAGATGAGAAATTAATTTCTAAACAACACTACCTATTATAAATTCTGGAGGGATTCGAATTCGGATTTTCACGGTGCACGGTGTGGCAGAGTGCTGTTCGGGCTAACAAAACTGAAATAATTAAATTTTTATAGTAACTTCTAATGTGTTAAGTAAAAGTTTATACTTGTTTTAGAAACATCGTAAACATACTCACTTGTCAGTTTGTGTTTATGCAGTTTATGAGGTTCGTTCGCTTTTAATACATGAAATAACAGGTTTTTAGTAGTTTCATCGGAAAAGATGTTTGTCCATTTTTATTAGGTAATTTAGACATCCAAAAAATACGTTGAAAGAAGAAGAAATTTAATTCAAACTTTATTTAAGAAGTAGAAAAAAAACAGGCAGTTTTACAAGTTTTACAAAAACATAGTCCAACTCAACCAGCTAGAATATACGCTTTTATACAAATTTCGGTTACCAACCGCTACACAATAATTTCAATCATTAGCAGAAGATCTTATTCAAGAGATTTAGACAATTTTACAAGTTTAAAAGGCTGTAGTTCTCTTGGTTTTCAAAAATATACAGTATTCTGTGTATTTCTTTACGCCCCGAATACTGCAAAATTTAAATATGTGTTTTTCGTACATGTCTGAACGGTTTAATTTTTCTGGTTTTATCCAGATTTTGCGGCATTTTGCCCACCTACATAAGGGGCATTGATGCTATTAAATTTTGGTAGTTAAAGGTCGAGGAGATAGAAACATTTAGTAGTGCCGTGTCACATCTTCAGAGGGGTAGAACTTAATGAAGATTTTACTTGTTATTAGCATTTACATTTTTTTTATAAAACTAATCTCTACCTTCAACATTAATCCTTTCGTCATTTTATAATAATTAATATTATAAAAATTTTTATTAAAAAAATCTTATAACAGATGACGCCACACAATTTTATTTATTATGATTAGTAGTATAA